TTATTATTCAATAAAATAATAATTTAAATTAACACAAATAAAAATATTATTTTATTGTTAAGAGACACCATAAAGAGAACACTAGTGGACACTATAAATATATGAATCTCTTATTTCTTTTCTCTTCCCAAAAATAATACTAAAAAATTGTTAAAAGACACTAAGTGAGTCTCACTAGTGGAGATGCCCTAAACGTAAAATATAGATCAACGGTTGTCTCCCAAAAAGAAAAGGAATCAAATAGCATTCACCATAAATGAATAGTCATCTTAAACTATTGGAAAAAAGGGCTGGATTGTCAAAGACTAGAGGCGAATACAGAGAGAGTAGAATCCACTTATCATGAGTTCGTAATAAATCAAGACTTCAAAATACAAAAAAAAAAACTGCATAGACTCTAGCCAAGGTAATAGAAAAAATAAAAAGTAAGTGAGAAGTGAGAATGAGTTTTCAAATGAGAACTTTTAAGATACTCATGAGAAAGCCATTTGACACTTAGCTTACTTTTTCATTAATTTATTTTTTGTTTTCCGATTAAAATTTAATTATATAATTCAATTATATTTAAATTATAATATTTTTATTATTTAAAATATTTTTAAAAGTTCTCACCAATGAAGATGTTCTAAGATGTCAACTGTGACCATATTTATGATGGGTAATGGATGTAAAATAAACTACAGTAAAATGATCGATTTTGATCACTGTACAGTTATTTTCTCTTGGGGCTAATTAATTTTAAATTGTCCCTAACAGCAATACAATAATATCCTATCAAACAAACAAGAAAGCAAAGACTATTGATCAGGAACATGCAATATTTTCCTTTGATTGAAGCAGAATTCACAATCATCTGTAAAATGTATTTAATTTCGTACAAAGCTTAGTGACACGTTTTTAAAATAATGAAGAACAAAATATAACATATATATGAAGAAAGAACCAATTTAATATTTTATAAAAAATCAAATTACTTTATTTTATATCTATATGTTTTATTGTTTTATACTAATTTAAAAATAAAATAAAAATTGTAATTTCAAGAATATCAAAAATTAAAAGTAGGTGTTCATAACATATATATATATATATATAATAAATAATCAAAAGTAATTTTCTTTAAATAATGAAAATTGTGGCGCAAAAAGAACAGTGAAACTGGCCCACTCACCAACTACAAAGCAATAGCCAATAGCTTATAGACAATATCATTAAAAAAAAAAATCGAATGTAATGGAAATAAATCAATAATGAATTATCACCAATCCAAAACGTACCATTATAAAAACCCAATCAAACTAAAAAAAATCGAAAAGCAAACGTTACATTTTGAGAAGAAGTTTTTTTTTTTTCTCTTTTTTTCTTGCTTTCGTGAAGTAGAATCTCCACACAAATGGTGCTCCAACAACAAACACTTTTTCTAACAAAGAAGACAGATCAAGAACCTTCTCAAGACTTCATTTTCCGATCCAAACTTCCCGATATCTCCATCCCCAATCACCTTCCTCTCACCGATTACGTCTTCCAGAAATTCTCCGGCGACGGAGACGGCGATTCCACCACCACTTGTCTCATCGACGGTGTCACCGGACGTATCTTCACCTACGCCGATGTACAAATCAATTTACGGCGGATCGCCGCCGGGATCCACCGTCTCGGAATCCGCCACGGTGACACCGTGATGCTCCTTCTCCCGAACTCGCCGGAGTTTGCTCTCTCCTTCCTTGCCGTCGCTTACCTCGGAGCCGTATCCACCACCGCGAATCCGTACTACACACAGTCCGAGATCTCAAAACAGGCAAAAGCATCCGCCGCGAAGATGATCATCACGAAACGGTGTTACGTCGATAAACTCACAAACCTGAAAAATGACGGCGTTTTGATCGTTTGCGTAAACGACGACGACGATCACGGCGTTTCGTTAGCTGACGGTTGCGTGAGTTTCAAGGAACTGACACAAGCGGACGAAACAGAGCTTCCTAAACCGGAGATCTCGCCGGAAGACACTGTGGCGATGCCGTACTCCTCCGGGACCACGGGGCTACCGAAGGGAGTGATGATTACTCACAAGGGATTAGTGACGAGCATCGCTCAGAAAGTCGACGGAGAAAACCCTAACGTCAACTTCACGGCAGATGACGTCATCCTCTGTTTTCTCCCAATGTTTCACATTTACGCGCTCGACGCGTTGATGCTCTCGGCGATGAGGGTCGGTGCGGCGATCTTGATCGTGCCGAGGTTTGAGCTGAATCTGGTGATGGAGCTGATTCAGAGGTACAAAGTAACGGTGGTTCCGGTGGCTCCTCCGGTGGTTTTAGCGTTCGTTAAGTCGCCGGAGACGGAGAAGTATGACCTGAGCTCGGTGAGGATGATGCTTTCAGGCGCAGCTACGCTAAAGAAGGAGCTTGAAGACGCCGTGCGTCTTAAGTTTCCCAATGCCATATTTGGTCAGGTCAGTTTTAAGTTCATTTTCTCTTACTTTCACAACTATTTTGTTTATTTCTTCATAAATTTTAATGCACTTGGACATAGGGACTGTAGTCAAAATCTGATAAATATGACTATTGTGATTGACTAATAATTCTTGGAGAAGTAACTTAGTAGAAATAGATGAGTATGATTATTTGATTAGATTACATATGATTCATGTGGTACGTACTTAGTAGTTAACTTGCGTTTTTCATGCGTAATTAGTAGAAAATGCTTGTGGTAGGTGAAGAATTGTCGCTATGTGCAATTACCTATCAACGTGAGTAATCAAATGGAATATTTTCAATGTATATAGATTGATACACTAACAAGTTTGAGGTCTACAATATTTAAGAAATGGATTAGTGGGTGGATCACCATTCACCAAACCTTAGCTTTAAAAGTATTTACGTCAGTGTCAGCGTCACCAAATTTCGAAATATTTATTGGTAACAAGATCTTCGATGTTAGAGTACACCAATATATTTGATTTTATGTAGACATATGATTACCTACCGATCGTTGTCATTATCTTGACTATACTAGTCAATTAATCAGATGAAACGTAAGTATCCCGTGGTGGGTAAACAAATTATAAAAGAACAAAAAATCGTACTATATTTGGAATTACAAATCAAACAACAATTCCAAATTCTTGGACCAGCACAATATATTCTATTAAAAGCCTAAACCAATAGTTAGCATCCACATTTGAGACGACCAAATAGAACTATAGAAGGATGATTCATTTTTGATTTTGGCAAGAGAAACACTTGAATCCCTTTGAGCTGTGATGAAACTGGTTCTAGCGATGGTTGGTTCCTTCGCATTCATCTGAAACATTAAAATAAAAATAAAAAAATAATCCCAGTGCCCATTTATTATGCACTTTCTCTGTTTGGTTTCTGACTGTCTTGTGTTGCTTTTACAATAACGTGTGAATCAATTTCAGTTATCTGAAAAAGATAAGTACTAAAAGTGTATAACAGTAAGTAATAAATTATTTGCACCGTTTAGTCCATTATTGGGGACACATTCATGACTCGTCTCTTTCTAAGAATCACCAATTCAAATCGATCTTGTAGCTCGTTTATTATTTAAGTATTTGACTTATTGGTTTAACAACCAAAAATTATACTCCAGTATTGACTTATTGATAGATTGTGGGGGATCATACACGAAAACGTTAACAGTTCCTATCAAATTTAATTCAATTACGACGACCAACGCACATGTTGATCAACCCCAATGTGACATTGTCAAACATTAATTTCTCGTTTACTTTAACTACAGCTTCAGTATAATGGGAAATTTGTCAAAGGTTGTCGTTTTCACATTATTTGTAATGACTAAACAAAAAAAAGAAACACGTTTCCAGGGTTATGGAATGACTGAGTCAGGAACGGTGGCTAAGTCATTGGCATTTGCAAAGAACCCATTTAAGACCAAGTCCGGTGCGTGTGGGACGGTGATCAGGAACGCCGAGATGAAAGTGGTCGATACCATTACCGGAGTCTCCTTACCACGCAACAAATCTGGCGAAATCTGCATCCGTGGCGATCAAGTCATGAAGGGTAAAAACGTTTAAACGTTCCTTTTATTGTTTTCTCCTTGGAAGCATTTCTTGATAGGGAAAAAAATGGTTGCGATCTTGTTAGGTTATTTGAATGATCCGGAGGCTACTGCGAGAACCATAGACAAAGATGGATGGTTACACACAGGAGACATTGGGTTTGTAGATGATGATGATGAGATCTTCATTGTTGATCGTTTGAAGGAACTGATCAAATTCAAAGGCTATCAAGTGGCTCCAGCTGAGCTTGAAGCATTGCTTATTTCTCATCCTTCTATCGAGGATGCTGCTGTTGTTGCGTGAGTGTAAACACAAATCTGAAAACTTTTAACTCGAAACTCTTACTGTTCGTCGCTTATACATGTTTTTTTCAGAATGAAGGATGAAGTAGCTGATGAGGTTCCGGTAGCGTTTGTGGTTAGATCAGAAGGGTCTCAGCTAACCGAAGATGGTGTCAAGAGTTATGTCAGCAAACAAGTAAGATCTTAAGATTTGACTGAACGTATATGTTTTCAATGATGGAAATCTTTTAGATTTCTTATATCAACGAATGATGTGATGATTTTATATAGGTGGTTCACTACAAGCGAATCAAGATGGTGTTTTTCATAGAAGCCATACCGAAAGCAGCTTCGGGTAAGATTTTGAGGAAGGAACTCCGAGCCAAATTGGAAACCGAGTACCCAAAATAGACACAAGAGAGTTTTGAATGCATGTGTAAGCTCGGACATTGACATCTCTGAGAAGTAATTAAGAAGCAATTATTTGGTGACATTATTCCTGTAAAGTTAAGGGCTTTTCGACACTTTATTAAGTACTACAACGTTTCAGTTATCTGTATAATGTCTCAGGGAGATTGAAAAATGTTTATTGAGAGTTTGGTGGTTACTAAGGGGGGGGAGTGGGAGGAGATACATTATTAAAATCCTCATGTCTCTGTAATTTCAGAACCATAATGTATAAAACGCTGGTTTCGATATATAGTTTGTATTCGGAAACTAAAGCTACAATATTCTCAACAACAACCTAGGAAGAACTACAACTATTTCAGTCTAGAGAATTAAGAAGCAGAGACATACCCGTTAAAGCGACAATGAGAAGGAAGTGGCTCAGCCGAAATGGTAAGAAGTAAGGGAAAGGAGCCAACATCGTACCAAAAGTAGAGTCTGGTAAAAGAGATCGTCATATATGGTTAGACCTTTTGTTCATGTATATGCTGAGAAATTAGAACCTGGACTGAACACTTGAATTAGAGTCCTAATCACACTGAGCATCACCAATGCATATATTAGATAAGACTAGGTGAAAAGCAGAGATTTTTCATGCATGCTCAAAGTTAGAAAACAAATGAACCCTTTCTGAATTCATAACACCAATTGGAGGTGAATCAATGATCTCGTCAAACAAAACGGCCATAAAAACAAGCTTTCAACTTTTCGGCAATAATTAGACAATTAAGACCATAAATGGCAAAGCAAAAGAAAACAGTAGCCTTTATCATGATTCTCCATAAGAAGCAAAGTGATAATTAAAAGGAAGAAGCTTTTATTGAATGAAATTTTTTTAACAAATGGAAGATCCTCAATCACTTCCCTGATATGAACAACAATAAAAGATACTACTACAAACATATCTAAAGCCAAACTCATCTTCATTCATAACACACAAGAAATCTTCTTCTCCTTTTTTTCCCATTTCTAGCAAACATTTCTATCCATCACCCAAAGAAACAAATCGAGCTTAGCAAGCAAAAAAAGTGAGTTCCTTTCCAGTCATGTTCACCTCATTTATCTTTGTCAGGAAATTCAGAAAAATGGAACCAAGATTCGATGAAAAAAGGTAAAAACTTTAAGACGCCGGAGAAGAAGATGAAGAAAGAGGACGAGGAGGCGGCAACATCTGACGGAGATTAGGACCTCCGGTAGCTTTAAGTATAAAAGGATGCTGCAAAAGCTGTTGCGCCGACCATCTCTTAGGAGGATCACTCTGCAAGCAACAAGAGATAAAATGACGAAACTCCTGAGACGCCGTCGCCGGAGCTTCCGGCGGCTGAGACATACAAATAGCGCACATCAAACTCGCCCAGTCTCCTTGTCTACTCACTGCAAAAGGAAACCTCCCCAAGTAAAACTCCAAGATACTAACACCCAAGCTCCAGATATCTCCGGCGTATCCATCGTACCGTCCATGATTCAGATCAGTGTTAATCCTCTCAGGGCTCATATAAGCGATGGTCCCAACAGAGGAATTACAAGGATCCATAGTCTGTGCCAAGATCCGGCTAACTCCAAAATCGGCGATTTTAACGTTTTTCGCCGAGTTTATGAGTAAATTCGAAGGCTTTATGTCTCGGTGGACTATGTGACGGCGATGAAGGTAAGCTAATCCGCTGAGAATCTGCCGTGAGAGATCGGCGAGTTCGTGCTCTTGCCACACGTGTGCGCCTTCGAGGGATCCTTGGTCCATGAACTCGAGAAGAACCTGGATCTCGCCGTTGTGATCGAACATGTCGTGACATTTCACGACGTTGGAGTGATCTACGCTTCGAAGGATCTCGATCTCTCTGCAGATCTGGCGTCTCACGGTGTCTTCGTGGTTACCGTAGATGACCTTGAGAGCAAAAGGGCGTGAGGAAGGACGGTGGATGACTTTGTAAACGGTTCCTCCGGCTCCGCTTCCGATTCTGTTCACGCGCTCTAGCTCGGATAAGCTTTTGGCGGCGGAGATGTTGGTGGAGATTGCGGTGGCTGAAGGAGCGGAGGAGGTGGAGGAGGAGGAGGGAGGAGGGAGAGGAAGAGGGACGGCGAGAGCGACGTCGCGGTGTGGGAGTGGTAAGCTGAGGTCAGGACGCTTGCGTAAGCGGTTTTTTACAGGGGAAGATACTCCTGGAGGAGGAGACGATTGAATCGGTCTCATGGCTTTTTGGAGGAAATCAAAAAGTTTGATTTTTTCGTAAAACCCTCTCAAAGTCAGGTCTTTATCGTCTTCGTATTTATCATCGTTTATCGAAATCAAAAGGGAAACGAAGGTTCATCGAAGAAGATTGTGGAGAGATTGAAGAAATGTTTTTTTAGTTTAGACACGAAGAAGAAGAAGAAGAAGAAAAAAAAGAGAAATGTAATAATCAACGAGACACAATATAGAGGTATCTACGCGCTTAAGAAATGCGCGTGTGGAACAAACGCTAGCTTTTGGAAGTATCTGTGTGGTTCTGTGTTGTAACACGTTGACGATGTTTTTTATTGGTCGGTCTGTTATTGGCGTGTGAGTGGGGTTCGGGTTTTTAAAAAAGTAAGAAAATGATGAAATGATAAATTAACGATTAAAGAAGATTAACGCCAATACATTTCGGCTTCATCATTATTACCGATTAAAGGAAAACAACAAATTCCATTTGGAAACTCCATCATGCATTGGCTTATATTTATAATCTGTGGAATTGTGAAATTACGTTTTAAATTGTAAATATTTTACTAATTAAGTTTTTTTGTAAAACAAAAAATAAAATACGAAAAAGGTAATTTATAATCTATTATATAAAAATTGCTCAACTTTCTCCGTATGAGTGATATATCAGCATTTAAGAATTGATATGGGAATGACATATGTCATTTTTTAATTTAAAATTATAGTTTTTAAAGAAAATTAATTAATAAATTTTAATATTAAGTGTTAAACTACTCAAAGAAAATGAAAAGTCTTTTTATTAATTGATTCTTAAATAACATTTATGTAAATATTAAATAAAAATTTATGTTATAATTAATTAAAAATTAATATTTTTTTAATAATTTTTTGTTTTTTAATAATATTATATTTTAAATTAATTGATTTATAATAATATACTAACAAATAACAAATGATGATCATACTTAAAAAAATACAAAATATATAAATTTGAAATAGTTGAAGGAAAAAACTATTTAAAATTACAGTTTTAAAGAAGAAAATTAATTCATAAATTTTAATATTAAATTTTAAACCACTCAAAAATAAAAAATCTATTAATTGATTTTTAAATAACATTTATGTAAATATTAAACACGAATTTATGTTATAAACTCTTGATTTTTAATGATATTATATTTTAAATTGATTTATTTATAATAATATACTAACACATAATAAATAATGATTATATTTTTTAAAAAAAATACAAAATATATAAATTTGAAATAGTTGATGAAAAAAATCCGCACGTTACGTGTAGGTATTCACCTAGTTTTTTAACAAAAATACCTAAAAACCTTATAAAACAAAAAAGTAAATTTTAAATATGTATTTCATTCCACGTAATTATTTCCACCATTATGCATTCTACAAAACTGTTATCAAAACAACACGTTTTATCACTTTGATTATCACTTTTTCATCTCTTTTGAAATTTAAGAATTATGGGATAATTTGCTTCATTGGGTTTAGATGAAAGAAACTGAATGTGCCTTTTTAATTGGCTTTTACTTTCGTGTTTATTGCTTATTTGTTTGTTTTACAAAATTTTTTTATCATTCTTAGTTCTTGCTGAAATGTAATGTCTCATCTCCCATTTGTATTTCACGAAGAATTTAACTGCATGGTGAATATTCTTGAGATTGAGATCGAGATAATTCGAACATTTTTTTTTTCATGAAACGGTAGGTGATTTTGGATAGTTTAATACGGAATCGCGAATAGTTTTAGCCGACTGAGAAAAAAAAAAATTCCAAGTGTTCACGTGCGAAGCATGTGACTTAAAAAAATAAGCCTTTGGCGCAACTCTCTCAATTCTTCGGCAGAGCAAATCTCTATCTCTCCCTCCTCCTCCTCCTCTGTTAGGGTTTTCATTGTCTCTCCGTCTTATGGCCGGCACCGGAATCCACCCTTACCACCAGCAGTGGCCGCCGGCAGGTGCGCCTCCTCCTCCCGCCGTAGCCTCATCAGCTCCTCCACCACATCCGCCGGCCGTACATCATCATCACCCTCCTCCTCCTGGTTTAGTTGACAACCATATCCGTCCTCCTTTTGACGAGGTTATAGCTACTCTCTCTCTTTTATATAGCTTAAAAAGCAACGATTTTGTTTCGGAATTGATTGATTGCTGCACTTACTTTGATGAGGGTCCTTCCAAAAACTTCGAATTTTTCCAAATCTACATTGGTTGTCAGAAAGTTTCAATTTTGAAGTGAAACAAGAAGCAATGATCTGCCAAATAAGCATTTTGACCTGCATCTGGATTGACTTTACTGATTCTGAAAAAATCTTGATATCTTACACGAGTTTGAATATGTTGTTTCAGCTTCGGACAATCTTCATCGCAGGGCTTCCCGATGATGTAAAAGAGAGAGAGCTTCTGAATCTCTTAAGATGGTTGCCTGGTTACGAGGCTTCTCAGGTGAATTTCAAGGGAGAAAAGCCCATGGGTTTTGCTCTTTTCTCCACGGCTCAGTTTGCAATGGCAGCCAAAGATACCCTTCAGGTCTATCTACTTCTGATCATTCTTGACTCAAAATCCTTCTCTTTTTTTTTTTTTGCACTTTATGACATATATATTGTTTTTGCCTTGTAGCATCTGGTGTTTGATGCTGACTTAAAGTCTGTGATACATACGGAGATGGCTAAGAAGAATCTCTTTGTTAAAAGAGGTTAGCTCTACTTTAATGACATAAACCTAATGTGTCATGTTACTGAAACTGAAGCATGTTTGATACAGTCTTGTGCATTTATACGAGGATCTCGTTACGCTCTCCCCTTTATCTATTTTCTTCCTTTCATTGGTACTATCACCAATCAATTTTCACCTTTGAGCTCTATTGTTGTTGTGTAGGAATTGTTGGGGATTCAAATGCTTATGATCAAAGTAAGCGCCTACGAACTGGTGGTGACTGCACACACTCTGTATATAGTCCGTCTCCTTTCCACCCTCCACCACCTCCAGTATGGGGACCACCTCATGGGTGAGACATCTGCTACTTTTTTCATATCTATGATTTCAGATGATTTGCAAAAACTTGGAGAACGTCTTATTTGGTACATTGTTCTCTGTTTAGTTGCGTATTTGACAACATATATAAAATCCGATTCAGGTATATGGCACCTGCACCTCCACCATATGATCCCTATGCAGGTTATCATGCTCCCCCTGTACCAATGCCTGCGCCCGCACCTATAGCAGCTCCTAGTTCATATGTGCCCGTCCAGGTGAAGTTGCATTTTCTTGCATCATTTTATTTATATAGTTTCATAAATTTGCTATTATCTACATGGGATCCATGTGGTACTGGCTATCTTTGCCTAATATTTACAAACTCGAAAGTTCATTCTACCTATCTTACATGCTATACTCTCTGGTGGTTTGTGTTTTGGAACAATAGTTGTTGCCTCATTTAACTACATGCTATACCCAGTTTGGGGTTTAACTAGCCTAGTCTTGGTATCCGTATCTCTCATACTGTTTTCTATTTTTTTTTGTTTTCCATTGTAGAATATTAAGGACAATCCTCCTTGCAATACACTATTTATTGGTAATCTGGGGGAGAATATTAATGAAGAAGAATTGAGGAGTCTGTTGAGCGCGTGAGTATATCTTTGCCTTAATGGCACTTTTTCATTCCATTGCTTTCTATGAAACCTTGCTTTTGTATATCACGGTGTTGTCAAGAATCATCTGCTCAACTGTACTTTCCTCTTGCAGGCAACCTGGTTTCAAGCAAATGAAAGTTCTGAGACAGGAAAGGCATACAGTTTGCTTTATTGAATTCGAGGTAAATTCTCCACCAGCAGCTATCTGTGTGTATACGCAATAGAATATATATATATATATATATATATATATGTAGCAAATCGTAAAACGTTTCTATTTTGACTTTTTTTCAGGATGTGAATAGTGCCACTAACGTTCACCATAATTTGCAAGGTGCTGTCATTCCAAGTTCTGGTTCAGTTGGCATGAGGATCCAATATCCTTTAAATACTCACTGCTTGTTTCTTTTCTTCCAAAAATTATTCTCTGCCGTTACTTCTATACTTCAATATGCCTACTTTTTTTTGTTTCTTCTTAACCCAATGATACGTATTCCAAGAATCCATATGGGAAAAGGAAGGAAGGCGGCGGCTATTCGTTTTTTCCTTCTCCGAGCGCAAATGGAGCTCAAGGAGCCTTGACATATCAGTAGGCCTTGAATGGGGGATGTACTCTCTTCTTTATCTTCCAACAAACAAGTGCACGAATAGGATGCATTTTGCAGGCAGTCCGCATTGCATCCATTTCATTCTCGACATTTTTTAAGCATCAGCATTTGCTTCTTTCTCATGTGATGGATGCATATAGTGCGACCTCATCAACATTACATGTTTCATGTTTCTATTAGCTTTGCTACATGCATTGTCAGTGTGGTTTTTTTAATTCTGTAGGAGTTGGGTTTTGCCATTTGTTTGTCTTCTTTCTGCTTCATTCAACGCATTACCCTTGTGGGATTCATTTTCATATCTTTGACCAAGCCATCCCAATGAAACTCCATTTGCTATATTAGCTAGGAAAAACCAGATCATTACGTTACATGATGACATCCAGAGGTCTTTCATCAAACTTCATTTCACTGCATGGCCTATCTCTATCACATCGAAAACATAACATTACATTCTGTGGAATGCGGCTGGTCACATGGTCTATCACATCGGTGTCATTCTTCAGCATCTCCCATCTTGATCATTCTGTGTTCTTAGGCTGATGAACAAGCACATCCCATTTTGTTAGTTATTAAAAGTTGAGGATAGGCACTCCATGACATGGTAGGTTTATACTTGAGGCAATATATAAATCCATCCCCAAGTCTGGCTTGGCCTTATGCAGGGACAATGAGGTAGGAAACTTTTTACCTGCAAACACTCCTGGCTCGAACCCATGGCGGGAAGGGCGATCTCCCTGGGTCCAACTATTATGTTCTAGCTAGAGAGAGATGGGGCCGATGCTGGGCCTCAGTGAACTACTATCTTAATTAACCTGATGTTTGTTTTGAGTATTTTCCCTTTATCTAGTGGAATACCTCCTCATGAAAGAACACTGTATTGAATCTCTTTCTTAAATCTCTATTTTCTCTCTCTCGTCTCTTTTCTTAAATCCCACAACTCAAGATCCAACATTTAGTTTGGTTAAACATAAAATTAGGCTAAGAAAGAAGGATGAATGAGTTTAAGCAGATGTATTAGCTATAATACGTACTTCGTCCCTATCCTACACTTGCATTTCCTAATTGTGTCATCGTCTCCCATTTTATCTTGTAGAAAATGCAAATTCAGTGAAGCTCGATCACTAAATCTTAGGAAGAACAAACCAGATCTCGATCAAATTGGAACAAACAGACAAAGCACGGATCGACTTATAGTGACTCTCCTCATAGTGTGTTCTTTCAAAAGAGCTATAGCTACTCTTCCATTTTCATGAATTATATAATCGTTTCTTAAACTTGGATACTTAACAGAATTTAAGATAGGCTTCACTTATTCGAGTCATTGTTAATACTTAATGGGACAACATAGATAACTCATGAATCCACGAATGATTGTCTCAAACAAGAAACAGAAGCTCCATGTTTTCCATTATTATTAATTGGAGAGTATCAAGCTTTCATTGCAAACAACAAAGAAAACAAAACATGCAGAGAAAAACGTTTTTTTGCATCCCTTTTTTATCCATCCAGAGAAGCAATACATCAAACTTCAGGGAAACCATATCTTGATTAAAGAAAAATCCTCAAACTTCAGCAGATGTGTCCGAGCGCAGAACTGTCAAGAAACAAAACAAAGTTGGTGATAAGGAAAATGGGTCAAGTAAAATGTCTAAAACCGAACTAAATTAAGAGACTGAAATTCTCTTCAAAGTTAGCTAGGGGAAGAATACCATCAAATGTGAGCACAAAAGACCCAGTTTTTTCAAGTGACAATCACTTTGCTAAACAACTGAAATGGGATATTGGAAGATAGCAATGGTTCTGATTGAGCTACTTAGAGTTTCTAAGTGGTGCAAAAGGCTAAATTTCCAATTCTTTTTCATAAATAACACTACTTAGGTTGCATATCATAGCTCAAGATCCAACATTTCATTTAAATATCTAATAATTTCACTAAGGCATAAAACCAGGCTAAGAGGCATGAATGAGTACAATTCCTAATTCCCTATCAGACACTTGCATTTCCTAATTGTGAATACAATTTTTCATCGTCTCTTATTCTATCTCGTAGAAAGTGCAAATCAGAGAAGCAGTAACAGAGAGAATCACAACACAGAAATGATAGGAGGAAGAAGAAGAAGCTAAGATCTCGATCAAACCGAAAAACAAAAACAAACAAAGTCAAATTGAAACAAACAACCGAGTGTAGGGAGATTGAAGAATGACCTGGTTTCTGGGGCTTTCCATCAGTCCATTTGGAGAGGGAGAAGTGAACCTTCTCGCGATTGATGGATTCAGCCTTGAAGGGTTCCTTGAGACAGTTCCTCACGAGATTCGCGCAGATGTTTGAGTATGATATATACGTCATCCCCGCCGCTCTCCAGAACGGAACCGCCGCGTTCGATGCCATTTTCCGATTTTGCTCTTCGCTTGCAAAAAGGTTTTTGATCGATCGAGAGTCGAGAGTCGAGATTGAGAAAGAAGATTCGAAGCTAAATCTCAGAAATTCGCTACAATGGAAGTGATTTTCTCTGACCTAAAAGTCAACCCGCTACTCGGTATTCGGCCCATTGGGCCTTTTTAATTTGGCCCAAATAACTAGATTTGTTTTTAACTTTTCGAAGCTGGTTTATTTAGTCTCACACAAAGACGGTTAAAGATGGTTCAAATCTTTCATAAACTTGAATTTTCTTCAATATGATAAAGTTTGATTAATGATTGTTCATGTTACTTTTCAAGACCATATATCTGTTTTTTTTTTTTAAGGCTTCGTCTGAGCTTAGCGACTTATTACATGGGTGATACACCGGTTTTTCATATGTGGATTATATTTTTTTTTTGGTAAAAATTTAAGAGATGGTGTAATAATATTGAAAAGAATATAAAGAATGGTATTGTAACCTTTGCCTTCCCGATAAGTAACACTAGGAAGATAGCTTTGATAAAAGATGAAAATATGCAAAGGGAAACGCATAAATTCTTTGCGTAAGGAGTTTTAGAATGTTTATCACTACAAGCAAGAATTAACGTTTGTACCAAACCATATACTGTATTATATAAGCACGTAGATGTGCCAACACTCTAGGATCATCTACTTTTTTTCTTTCCCTCTCAAATCATTTTTATCAACCATAAATAATAAAAGATTTCATATCCTCCTCCTCTTTGTCATCATCAGCCATGGATCTTGAGTCAAAGCAGCAACAAGCTCTTGATCCACTTATATTTTGCCCAGATGCAATATTTGAAAATGATGAAGAAGAGTTTCGCTGGATAAACTTTGGAGAGCCACCAATTCGGAAACCCAAGTTTTCATCATTATCTCGAATCTATACCTATAACCACAACTGTCCATTGTGCAAGGAGTCGTTAGTGGGTGCTACTTTTCATTCATGCAAAGAATGTCGTGCGCCATATCTAATTGGCACTTTTGGCTACCACCACAAGTGTCTAGAGCCCATATCAAAGCATCCATATCATCCTAAACATTCTCTCCGACCTCGAACTAATTATTACGTAAGAAATAGATGCTCATGTTGTTCATATATAAGAAATTGGGGTTACAGTTGCTCTATATGCGATTTTACAATGTGTCAAGATTGTGCGAGAAAGCCACCACTTCTTGAAATATTCCACCCAAAAAGGCATGAGCATACCCTCTCATTTTTTCCTAGAAAAGGCTCATTAATCTGTGACGTTTGTGCATTGAATGATCATAGTTTGTTGATGTATTCTTGTACTCAATGTGATTTTTTAGCGCACCAATATTGTCTCAACTTTCCATGGATCATAAGAATCTCACGTCATAAACACCGCCTCTCTTTCTGTTCATTACTTACTCCTGAAAAATGGTTGTGTGGAATGTGTCGTGAAAAGATAGACACTAATTATGGAAGATATATTTGCGTCAAAGGTTGCAGTTATGGTGTTCATTCTAAATGTGCAACACGATATGATGTGTGGGATGGAAAAGAACTCGAGGGAATACCAGAAGAGGTATACGAAGAAGATCTTAAATCGTTCAATGAGATAAGTGATGGAGTTATACAACATTTCAGTCACCAAAGTCATCATATGAGACTAGACGAGGAGACCAATAGAGAATTTGACGAGAACAAACGTTGTCAAGCATGCACACTTGTTATATGTGACGAAATCATCTATAGTTGCATGCAATGTGATGATTTTATTCTCCATCAAACATGTGCTCATCTTCCTAGAAAGAAACAACATGCCACACATTCTCATCTCTTTACTCTGCAAGTACTGGATCCTCTTGTAGATGGTTGTTTCGAGTGTACAATTTGTGGCCGTAGAAGCAATGGTTTTATGTACGAGTGTTGTGAAAAAGATTGTGATTTCAGATTAGACGTACGTTGTGCTTCCATAGCAGAGCCGTTGGATCATTGCTGTCATCCACATCCCATGTTTCTTACATCTGACCCTAATACTTATGATAAATGTTCGGTTTGTGGAATGTCTCAAGATCGTCGTCTAAACTGTGGAGAAGGTGATTTTGTTTTATGTTTTAAATGTGCCACTTTACCCGATAAAGTGAGGTACAAGCATGATGAACATTATCTTATCTTTTCGTATGATGGAGATGCATATTGTCGATATTTGTGTGATGTCTGTGAAGAACATGCAGATCCAAGAATGGGAATTTATAGGTGCAGTGTTTGCAGCACCACACTGCATATTACATGTTTACTTGGAGATTATGAAGAGATGTACATGCTGCCCGGTGGAATAACCAAATATGATTTTGGAAAGATAACAACAAATGTCAATATTCTTTCCAATAATCATCTTACTCGTAACATATGTAGCCGTTGCAAATACCGTTGTACAAAACTTTTAGTATACAAAATATCTGATAGAGAAGTATTGTGCTCTTTTGGGTGCCTAGCTGAACTTATGTACAATTGGTTTTAATATCATATATTAAATTTGTATTTAATAAAACTATAGTAGCACATTTGGTTTTAAATGCCCTCTTTTGCATCCTCTAACCAGAGTTCAAATTACTCAGAACCATACTTCGAGATACAAGCCATACATATTACTCAGAACAAATATTTTTCCAAGAGATACAACAGAGCTAATGCCTAATTTAAGCATCACCAGGTAAACAAAGAATAATGGAGACAAAACACAAAAAAAAAAAAGAGTCAATAGTATCGTTATTGTAGTCCCTTTTGTGAGTATCTCACTACTTGCTTGAGTAGTTTGACCTTGTTAAAATCTGCAGGGCAATAGCTTTTCTCTACTTCCCAAGCGAGCTGAGACATTCCATTGAAGGATGATTTAGCTCCCTTTTCATCTGTTACTTCCATTGGAAATGGAATCCTCACATCATATGCACCTTGTGGAGACCATACCCGAAGGTCAAACCCAAGCCTATCCATCCATATCATCTTTGTTTCTGAAACCTGGTATTGGACAGAGAAAAGTATAGTTCTGTATAAACATGTATTCTTCTAGATGTAACTAATCTAAAATGAAACTAGTAGTTTTGCTCCTGAGATTGGTAAAAGACTGAACATTTTTTTATCTAGATGGAACATTCTTATTTAAAGTATAAGTTGAATATACTAACCACAAAGTCTAGATCCACGTATACATTGCAAAAACGGAAAATGTCTTCCATGTTGTTAGCGTTGATTTGGTTGACAATGTTTTCTGCAACATCTCGAAGAGGATCAGGACTTGCAATTTTATAATCTGATGACGCCACCCAGATTCCGTCCTGTAAAAGTTTTTAAAACATCGTTTCTTACTTACAAAATCATTTGGAGGAGTTCAAGTGTCATAAGAAACTGAAAGAGCTTGCGGATTTCTACCTCCATGAAGTCTTCCATTTGGAGTACACGGTCAACTGCAACAACATATAAACTGTCTTCCTCAACTTCTTCGCCAAACTTTTTCCTCCATCTAGCACTAAGACGCTACACAAAACAATAAGGACTTCGATTCAATACAAGTAAAAGCACATGAAATGGGCAGATAAGTCTAGCTTCTTAAAATCAATGTCATGAGAGATAACATATATATTTTCCACAAACATCTCCTAGAGGTTTAAGGAAACCCAACACCACTATGTTCAACTACACAAGCAATAGCTCCTTTAAAAACCAAGAGAAGCTCTCCAAGAACAGTGAAAATGTCTAAAGAGTACTGTATACTTTGATTACAATTACAACCAGCCAATGCAGACACATACACACAGAAAATGGATATAAATGCAAGTCTTCCTTACACTAAGAACTTGGGTTTCTACAGAATGGTAGCAAGGAGAAAAACATTAACATGTCAATTTCGAAATCCTATTGTCCACACAAATGATCATACACAATGTATTTTGAGTTGACTACAAGAGTGATGATTTGATTCTTTGGAGTGAGTGATTCAGAACAAAATCATACCTTTCGAACATTATCGTCTTCTGGTCGACCAATGCTACCTTGAATCGTACACTGAGGAGTCCTCAACCCACATTGCTCTAACTGATTCCAAATATCAAAGCAGGATAGGATCAGAAGAAGAATTTAACCAAAATACAATTTCAAAAATCTCTCTAAACAAAGATCCATTTTTGCAACTTCTCGAGAAGAAATCGAGTGGAGAAATTAGCAAAATGATGACCTGAACATGAAGAGCAGACCTCTTGTCAGGAGACAATGTGCGATTGAGGCTAAGAACAGGAGTGCCGTCTTGGTCAACGGCGAAGCGAACGCCGACGCCGAGCGGCCAGCCGTCGTGTGTCAAGGTGGAGAGAGTTCCGACGGAGGATAGCTCCATGATACTCCTCGAAACTTCCGCCGGATAGGGCTTGTGGGTCGAAGCGGAGAGATGATGATGATGGGTCGCCGTCGACGGCGTATCCGAAGCCGTGGAAACGGAGCATCGGAGGGAAATTGGACGAGATGGGTCTCGTTTCAGAGTGATGAATTCGCGTTTCTCGATGGGTTTCACGAAAGTTGGAGATGGGAGAAGATTGAGAGCGAAGGATTGGGTTTGGAGCTTCATTTTTTTGATTGCTCAGAGAAAGAGAGAAAGAGACAATGGACTATAGCAAGCGTTTGACGAAAACAAGATAAAACTTCCAAAGAAAATTAAAGAAAACAAACCGGATCCGTACCGATAAATAACCGAATCACGTTACGAATTTTTCCTCCGGTTTGTGTGTTTTCGAGCTCTGAAGTCTGAATTAGAAGAAAATTAGGAACTCAGTCAAATCTGACTAGACATTGTGCTGTGTTTCATTTAACATCTATCTTTTTCTGTTGCAAATTGCTCTAACGCAACAATGTCACGGATATAGGATGAGACATAATTTGGGTAGGGATAAAAACTTCTCACAATGCCAAACAACCATAAAAATGGTGCCAAGACAATAATTAATAATTCTTAGAAAACAAAGAAAAATAAAATGTAACGTTGGTTATAAGGAACAGCGATTTTAGACTATGTAGCTTGAAAATAGGATTTTGTTCATTTTTTTGTCATTTTGAGTTGCTAGAGGTGTTCCAAAATCATGTAACGGTATCTGAGTGCTTACGTAGATATTATTAATGAGCAGAGGGAAAAGAAAAATTAGCTACATTAAAAGTTTTGAAGTAGTGTCATCACACTGCGTTACGCTACTACTCAACAATCAACAAAGTGTTAATTTTTGATCCCCCTCACAAACTTAAAAGACAAGGCAAAACAATACACAGAGTCATGCATGATATATAATCATTGATCAACATGTGTGTGTGTGTGCTTTCCTGATATTCACCAATTTTGTTGTTGTTTGTTTGTGTGAACCGGTATTCGACAGAAGAACATATAATTATTGAGACATGACCAATATCAATATTGTACTATATAATTAATGATGTGGTACGTTGAAAATTAAAGTTATTAAACTATCTCTAAACAAAGTTTGATTAGCAAAATTGAGCATTTGAATGAAAGCTATAGGCATCATTACAACTGCTTTTGAATAATATAATTTCTAAATTAGTCACGTCAAAGAAATAATACGTCTATAATGTGTTTTAGCTTTAACCATATCTGTAATCCGGTTCTTTATCATTTGCTAATAATTTTTGTTCAGTAATCACTCTTGTTTTATATAAAGGGACTTTTAGTATCATCAACGATAGGGGAGAGAAAATATATGTAGTGGAATTTTATATTTTCACAAAAGAAAAGAGAGAAAATATATACAGGAGTAACGTTTTTAAAAATATATATTTTCTGGTACGAATTATTGAGCTATATGTGATTTTAAAGTTTATATCAATGTTTTCAAAAGTTATTGACATTCACTATTGAATTATTAATTTATATATAAAATACTGACTCTCTGTTTTTTTGTACCATAGTTATATTTGATTAAATATTTACTGAATCCCTAGTGTTATACTCTAAAATGTAAGTAAAGATTAATTAACACAAAGAGTAAAAAATGTTAAAAGGAAAAAAATCAGAATGTTTTGCTCTATCTGGTTTAGTACCGGTTTAGTGAAATCACTGGTTAAAGATTATAACAACATTCACGGCAAAAGTGTCGGTGGCTGTGTTGTGGGTTAGATAGCGTAAAACTTCAACTTCAACAATCAACACTGACAATAACACTCCGCAGAGGAAAAAAAAAAAGGGAACTTTATCGGCAAAACTTTAAATAAAAAAAAATTAATCAAAAGGGGAACTGAGATTTCGTATTTGAGGAAGATAGCTTGTCTCTATCTGCCCCACAAACACAACATACCAACTCTCTCTCTTTGTTGGACTTTCTTTTTCTTTCCTTCCTTGTCTATTTCACAACTCATCTTCTCAGAGTCCTCTGTTTTCTCTACTTCACAATCCAGTTTTGGAGAGAGAGAGAGAAGAAATGGGTGTGGATTTGAGGCAAGTGGTTGCTGGTATTCTCACCATTACCATGTTTGTGATGCTTGGACAGATGCTTCATCGAGATTACTATGATTCTCTTCAGGTATGTTCTCTGCCGACATTTTTTTTTTGTTTCGTTATAAGGCTTTTGCTTTTAACTTGATACTAATTTCAACTAATTTAACTGGGCTCTGTTCGATTTCTCTTCTTCATTCTCAGTTCTTTTTCTCCTTCAGTATTTGTGTTGATACTTCTAGATGCCTCTGAAGCAGATCTAATCGTTACTAGACTGTTAGTTTGCTCAGTGAGATGTTTGCTTGATTCAAGCATTGTAGGGTTTTCTTCAGAAACAAAACTTTCCATTTTTAGATAAAAATGTGAATTGCATTGATCATACATCATAGAGTCTACAGTTTTTCCGCTGATCATTAGGACATGATTGACTTCATCTCTTTTGGTGTAAACGAGTAGTGAAAAAGGTTGAAGCTTTTTCTTCTGTTAGCTTAACCCAAAAATCATTCTCTTCTTTTCATTTTGGGTATATGCAGAAGAAAGTACAGGGAGATGCACACGATATGGAATTCGAAGGATCCAGAGTATCTGTGAAAGATAGTCTTGTTGGAGCCGTCGAAGGCAGCAAAGGACCTTGGATGGATGATAACAGTGACCTTAATCCTTGTTGGCCAACATTGCTACCAGGTACGTGGCCAACATTACTCTCAGACTCTTGTCTTCTGCAATTTTCGCATCTGGACTACTTACTAAGGACACAATTGATGCAGATGAAGCTGTATCGTCCAAAGGCTATGTTACATTCTCGCTAACGAATGGTCCTGAGTACCATGTCTCTCAGGTACATGCTTTATGAAAACTCTAAAAGTTTGATCTTTTTTAAAGTTTTAATCTTCTTCCTCTTGTTGGTTTGTGTGGTTAAGTCTGTTAATCTTGTTTAGATCACTGATGCTGTAATGGTGGCAAAGCATCTTGGAGCAACACTAGTACTTCCTGATATAAGAGGAAGCAAACCTGGTGATGAAAGGTTAAGACTTTTTTTTTTTTTTACTTATGTTCATGACATTTTGGTTTTGC